TATGTATTAGGTAGAGTTGCTATGTCTCTTAGGCTTCATAAGGTGGCCTATTGTAGTAGGTTCCAGTGGCACAGCCTCCCTGATCACCTCAGTTGGGCCCTTGAGGTGCACCCCTAGTGTGGACTAAATACACTTTTGTAATAATTGAGTCTTTAAATAAATTGTTTTTTCCTGTATTGATTTTAGAGATAGAGGAAGTGAGAGGGAGAGAGAGACAGAAACATCAATGAGAGAGAACATCAATTGGCTGCCTCCTGCATACCCCCAGTGGGGATTGGGCCCACAACCTGGGCATGTTCCCTGACCTGGAATTGAACTGGAGACCTCTTGGTGCATGGGTTGATGCTCTCCCACTGAGTCACACCAACTAGACTGTTATAATTGAGTCTTGATTGCTGTTAGCACTTCAGTGGGAGAGATCTACTCAGGCTGATCAGCTGCAAGGACTGGCTGTGCCCACTGACCACTCACCTCTGACCTCCTTGGAGGACCAGCTGTGCAGGGGCCCACCACACAGAGCAAGACTTACTTCAGCAGGGCTCAGGTACCCACTGAGTCCTTTCCTTGAGTGTATTGCTTGTGTAGAGGTGGTTGTGTGGTGGTGCTTCAACATGGTCTGAAGCTGTCTACTGGGTGTGCTGGCTCTGGGACAAGGTCAGCCTCTGCCTGTGTTCTACCCCCGGCCACCAGGCATAAGATAGAAAGTGATCTGCCAATAGTTGCTTCTTGTGCTGGGATTGGAGGTGCCCAGGCAAAGCCAAACTGTGAACCAAGGCTGACTGCCTTTAGTGCCAGGCCTGGAGCCAGTTAGCTAGAGGTATGGGGCTCACTGGGACCAGGTGCTGCTTATTTGAGAGAATTTAGGAAACTCTGAAGCAGGAGCCAAGATAGGCCAATCCTATGGTAAAGCCACTGGAAACAGCTTGAGTGGGCCCAAAAGTTGGGTGGGGTAGGGCCTCAGGAAGTCACCAGGGAGGGGCAAGTGAGCCAGGTTGCTGGAGTCTCAGATATGGAGCCCTTCTGCCAGCCCTGTGGGGGAAGGGCTCACCAAAGGAACACAGGCCTCAGCCAGCTTGTCTGTCTGGGAAAAAGCTGCCTCTTCAGTTCTCACCCAGATGCCAAACAACTTCGTTCTTCCCTGTATATGTCTGATGCCTTTCAAGCTGCCCCCAGCCCTGGAGCCTGGAGGGAGCAAGTCCAAGCAAATCCATGCGTGGGCCCTTTAAGAGGTGCTGCCTGGGGCTCCAGAGGCTTCAGCCTCCCTCAGCCTCAGTTCCTGCTGGTTTTTACAGCCAGAAATTATGGGGACTTTCCTTCCTGCACTGAGACCCTAAACTGGACCGTCACTCCTCAAAGAGGACCTTCCCAGCCCAGGTAGCCCTACTGATTTTTATCTGCCACACGTGGGTGTGGGACCAGCCTGTCCTCAGCTCACCTCTCTTACCAGTCTTGATGTGTCTTCTTTAATTTTGTAGTTGTAGGACTTCCATTCAGCTTGATTTCAGGCGGTTCTGAATGATGGTTGTTCTGTAGTTTAGTTGTAATTTTGATGTGGTCGTGGGAGGAGGCGATAGCGCCTTTTCCTATGCGGCCATCTTGACCTGAATGTCTGTTTACAAATTTTTGATTGGAGTCTCTGGAATTGAAAATCCTGTCACTAAGTAGATTCTAGCATCCTTCAGGAAGATTTAATAATTATACATATCAATTTTTCAGGTTTATGACATTTGTCCATCATAACGGTCATGAAAAGAACAGGCATCCCTACTTTTGCCCCAATTTATTAATTTGTTGTTGGCCTTACTCAAGTTTCCACTTTCATTTGCTTTATGGGTTTTAGTGGTTGTAATTTAAGAGAAAGTAAGCAGTATTTATAATGAGATTACTTAAGTGAAATGAGAACTTGGAATGCTCCAAAATGATATTACCTTATATGTTTTGTAGAGCTATTCTTAAAGGAACATAAGGATATTTATATATGACCTAATAGGTTTAGTTGCTATATGAGGTTGGAAGATATTAATATTCCAAGTTTGCAAATGAGGAAAATTTGTTTTCTTAAGACAGTTTAAAATCTTTTTTAAAATTTATTTTTAGAAATCTTTATTGTTGTATTACATATGTTCCTCCTTTTTTCCCCCATTGATCCCCTCCTCCCTGCTTCCACCCCACTCCTCCTGCCTTCCCCACACTATTGTCTGTGTCCATTGGTTATGCATATGTGCATATAAGTTCTTTGGTTTACCTCTTCCCACTCCCCCACCCACTATCCCCCCGTCCCTCGGAGGTCTGTCAGTCTGTTCCCTACGTCCATGTCTCTGGATCTGTTTTGATCGTAAGCTTATTTTGTTCATTATATTCCATAAATAAGTGAGATCATGTGATACTTGTCTTTCTCTGACTGGCTTGTTTTGCTTAGCATAATACTCTCCAGGTGCCTCCATGTCATCTCAAAGTTTCTTTCTTATAGCTGCATAGTGTTCCACTGTGTAAATGTATCATAACTTTTTTATCCACTCATCTATTGATGGGCACTGGAACTGTTTCTAGATCTTAGATTTTGTAAATAATGCTGCTATGAACATAGGGGTTCATATATTCTTTTTGATTGGTGTTTCAGGATTCTTAGGATATATTCCGAGAAGTGGGATCACTGGGTCAGATGGCAGTTCCATTTTTGATATTTTTGGGAAACACAGTATTGTTTTCCATAGTGGTTGCACCAGTCTGCATTCCCACCAGCAGTGTACTAGAGTCCCCTTTTCTCCACACCCTCACCAACACTTGTTGTTTGATGATTTGTTGATGGCAGCCATTCTGGCAGGTGTGAGGTGATACCTCATTGTGGTTTTAATTTGCATTTCTCTCAACCTGTGGGTCGAGACTTTTTTGGGGGTCGAACGACCCTTTCACAGGGATCACCTAAGACATAACAGTAGCAAAATTACAGTTATGAAGCCACAACGAAAATAATTTTATGGTTGGGGGGTCACCACAACATGAGGGACTGTATTAAAGGGTCGCGGCATTAGGAAGGTTAAAAACTACTGCGATGACTAGTGACTTAGTGCATTTTCTCATATATCTCTTGGCCATTTGTGTGTCCTGTTTGGAGAAGTGTCTATTCAGGTCCTCTGCCCATTTTTAAATTGGATTGTTTGTCTTCCTTTTGTTGAGCTGTGTGAGTACTTTACATATTTTAGATACTAACCCCTTATTCAATGTATCGTTGGCAAATAGGTTCTCCCAAAGAGTGGGTTCTGTTTTCATTTTGAAGATGGTTTCTTTTGCTGTGCAGAAGCTTTTTAGTTTGATGTAGTCCCATTTATTATTTTTTTCCTTTGTTTCTCTTGCCCTAGGCGATTTATCACTGAAAATTCTGCTACTTGTAATGTCTGAGATTTTGATGACTACATTTTCTTCTAGAATTTTTATGGTTTTGCGACTTACATTTAAGTTTTTAATCCATTTTCAGTCTATTCTTGTGTATGGTTTATGTTGGTGGTCTAATTCCATTTTTTTTTTTTGTATGTTCATGTCCAATTTTCCCAACACCATTTATTGAAGAGATTGTCTTTATTCCATTGTATGCTCTGGCCTCCTTTGTCAAATATTAATTGAGCATAATGTCTTGGGTTGATTTCTGGGTTCTCTGTTCTTTTCTATTGATCTATATGCTTGTTCTTGTGCCAGTATCAGGCTGTGTTGATTATGATTGCCTTGTAGTATAATTTGATATCTGGTATTGTGGTCCGTCCCACTTTGTTGTTCTTTTTTCAAGATTGCTGTGGCTATTTGGAGTCTTTTTTGATTCCATATAAACTTTTGGAGTATTTGTTCTAGATCTGTGAAATATGCCGTTGGTTCTTTAATAGGGACTGCATTCAATCTGTAAATTGCTTTGGGTAGGATAAACATTTTAATGATGTTGATTCTTCCAATTCATGAACATTGCATATGCTTCCACTTTTTAAAATATCTTCTTCTATTTCTTCTTTCAATGTCCTGTAGTTTTTTGAGAACAGGTCTTTTACTTCCTTGGTTAAGTGTATTCCTACATATCACAATTTTCTTGTTGCAATTTTAAATAGGATTATTTATTTACTTTCTCTTTCTGAGTGTTTATTATTGGTGTATAAGAATGCCATTTAATTTCTGGATGTTAATTTTGTATCCTGCTACTTTACCAAATTTATTTATTAAATCTAGTAGTTTTCATTTTTTTTAGAGTCTTTAGGGTTTTGTGTACAATATCATGTCATCTGTGAATAATGACAGTTTTGCTTTCTACTTTCAAATTTGGATGCTGTTTATTTTTCTTTCTTGTCTGATAGCTGTGGCTAAGACTTCCAGTACGATGTAAAATAAGGGTGGTGAAAGTGGACATCCCTGTCTTGTTCCTGTCTTAAGGGAAATGTTTTTAGTTTATGCCCATTGAGTATGATGTTGGCTATAGGTTTGTCATATATGGCCTTTATTATGTTGCAGTATGATCCCTTTATTCCCAGTTTGCTGATCATTTTGATCAGAAATGGGTGCTGCATTTTGTCAAATGCTTTTTCATCATTTATTGATATGATCATATGATTTTAATCTTTCATTTTGTTTCTGTGGTGTATCACATCTATGAATTTGCGAATATTGTACCAGCCTTGCATCCCTGGGATAAATCCCACTTGGTTGTGGTGAATAATTTTTTAAATATATTGCTGGATTTGCTTTGCTAATATTTTGTTGAAGATTTTGGCAACTATGTTCATCAGGGATAATGACCTTTAACTTTCTTTCTTTGGAGTGTCTTTATCTTGTTTAAATTAGGATTATGCTTGTCTCACCAAAAGAGCTGAGTAGTCTTCATTTCTCTCTTTTTTTATTTAAAAAAAATTTTTTATCCTCACCCGAGGACATTTTTTTGATATTTTGTTCAGATAGAGTGGGAGGGGGAGAGAGAGAGAGAGAAACATCAACGTAAAAGGAACACATCGAGTGGTTGCCACCCACACAACCCCACCAGGGCCCAGGACAAACTGCAACTGAGGTACGTGCCCTTAGCGGGAACTGTACCTGGGTCTCTCTGGACCACAGGCTGACGCTCTAACCGCTGAGCCAAACTGGCCAGAGCAGTCTTCATTTCTCTTGAAGTTTTTGGAATAGTTTGAAGAGAATAGAGGTTGGTTCTTCTTTGAATGTTCAGTAAAATTCCTCTGTGAAGCCTTCTGGACCAGGGCTTTTGTTTGCTGGGAGTTTATTGATTATGTCTTCAATTTCCTTAGTTGTTTTGGGTCTATTCAGATTTTCAGGATCTTCCCGGTTGAGTTTTAGAGGACAGTATGATTGTAGGAATTTGTCTATTTTCCTAGGTTTTCTACTTTTCGTTGAATAATTGTTCATAGTATTTTCTAACAATCATTTGTATTTCTGTTGTATCAGTTGTTACTTTTATTTCTGATTTTGTTTATTTGCGTCTTCCCTCTTTGTTTCATGGTTAATCTGGCTAAAGTTTCATCAATCTTGTTTATCTTTTCAAAGAACCAGGTCTTGGTTTCATTGATTGATCTTTTGTTTTTTTTTTTTAGTCTCCATATTATTTATTTCCATTCTGATCTTTATTATTTCTTTCCTTCTACTTTGTTTTGTGTTTGTTTTTTGTTCACTTTCTAGTTCTTTAAATTGTAGAGGTTGATAGTCTGTTAGAAATTTTTCTTGTTTCTTAAGGTAGGCCTATAATGATATTAACTTCCTTCTCAGAACTGCTTTCTCTGTGTCCCATAGATTTGTGTTGTTGTGTGTTAATTTTCATTGATTCCAGGAAGATTTTTAATTTCTTCCTTGATCTCCTTGGTTACCCATTCATTGTTTCATAACATGTTATTTAGCCTCCATGTGTTTGGTATTTTTGAGTGTCTTTATTGTAATTAATTTCTAGTTTTATACCATTGTGATCTGAGAGGATGCTTTATATGATTTCAATATTTTTGAAATTGTAGAGACTTAGTTTGTGTCCTAACATGTGGTCTATGTTTGAGAATGTCCCATGTGCACTTGAGAATAATGTATATTCTGCAGTTTTGTGGTATCATTATAAATATCAATTAAATCCATCTGATCTAGTGAGTCATTTAGGGTTTCTGTATTCCTGTTAATGTTTTGTCTAGAGGATCTATTCAGTGATTACAGTGGGGTGTTGAAGTCCCCTGCTATGATTGTGTTGCTATCAATCTCTCCATTAAAGTCCTCCAGAATGTTTAAATACATTTAATATACTTTGGTGCTCCTATTTTGGTTATATCTTCTTGTTGGATCAATCTTTTTAATATTATGTAGTGGCCTTCTTTGTCACTTCTTACAGCCTTCATTTTGAAGTCTGTTTTATCAGTTATGAGTATTGCTGCCCCAGATTTTTTTTCATTTCCATAAGCTTGGAAGATTTTTTTCCATTCCTTCACTTTCATCCTGTGTGAGTCCATAAAACTATTTTTTTTTTTAGTGAAACTCGAATGGCACACTGGTTTCCTCATTATCTTAAATGTGATGCATTAACCTTAATACCTTTCTGTCCTTTCCTTAACATAAATTTTTAATGTTCTTTTTATTTAAGATCTATCTTATATACAGTAAAGAACATAAATCTTAAGTGTAAAGCTCAATCAATTTCTTTTAATTATGTGCACATCCATGTATCCTCCACACTTATTCTCTAAGAAAGGGAATATTTCCAGCATACCAGCAGGCTCCCCTGTGGTCCCTCAACACCCCAAGGAAATCACAATTCTTACATCTACCACCATAGATTGGTGTTGCTTGTTCTTATTTATTTATTTATTTTTTATTAATTAATTTTTGTTACAGATGTTTCTCCCCCCCCCCCCCCAGATTCCCCTCTCCCCCTCCCTCCCTGCCCTGTCCCCAGTTTGATGTCCATGTCCACTGTTCATGCATACATGCATATAAGTTCTGTGATTTATCTCTCCCCCACTACCCCCTCTCCTGGGGATTGTCAGTCTGTACCCCACTTCCACATCTCTGGGACTAACTACCCCATTCCTCAGACTGTTATGTTTATTATATTCCACAAATAAGTGAGATCATATGATACTTGGCTTTCTCTGTTTGGCTTGTTTCACTTAGGAAGATATTTTCCAGGTCCCTCCATGTAGACTCAAAGGATAAGAGATCTTTCTTTCTTACAGCTGCGTAGTACTCCATTGTGTATATGTACCACTGCTTTTTTATCCATTCGTCTACGGATGGACACTGGGCTCTTTCCAGATCTTAGCTATTGTAAATAGTGCTGCTACAAACATGGGGGTACATATATTCTTTCTGATTGGTGTTTCAGGCTTCTTAGGGTATATTCCGAGAAGTGGGATAACTGGGTCAAATGGCAGTTCAATTTTTAAATTTTTGAGGTAACACCATATTGTTTTTCATAGTGGCTGCACCAGTCTGCATTTCCACCAGCAGTGTACTAGAGTCCCCTTTTCTCCACACCCTCGCCAACACTTGTTTGATGATTTGTTGATGGCGGCCATTCTGACAGGTGTGAGGTGATACCTCATTGTTGTTTTAATGTGCATTTCTCTGATTATTAGTGATGATGTGCATTTCTTCATATGTCTCAGCCATTTGTATGTCCTGTTTGGAGAGGTGTCTATTTAGTTCCTCTGCCCATTTTTTAATTGGGTTCTTTGTCTTCCTTTTGTGGAGTTGTATGAGCACTCTATATATATTGGAAATTAACTCCTTATTTGATATATCATTGGCAATTATGGTCTCCCATACAGTGGGTAGTGTTTTCGTTTTGATGATTGTATCTTTCGCTGTGCAGAAACTTTTGAGTTTGATGTAGTCCCATGTGTTCCTTTTCTCCTTTGTTTCTATTGCCTTAGGTAATGTTTCAGTGAAAATTCTGCTGCATATGATGTCTGAAATTTTGTTGCCTACAGTTTCTTATAGGATTTTTATGGATTCATGAGCCACATTTAAGTCTTTTATCCATTTTGAGTTTAGTCTTGTGTAGGGTGTAAGTTGATGTTCTAGTTTCATTTTTCTGCGTGTAGCTGTCCAATTTTCCCAGCACCATTTATTAAAGAGGCTGTCCTTACTCCACTGTATGCTCTTGCCATCTGTGTCAAATATTAATAGAGCATATTGCCTTGGGTCCGTTTCTGGGTTCTTCTGTTCCACTGGTCTATATGCCTGTTTTTGTGCCAGTACCAGGCTGTTTTGATTATGGTGGCTTTGTAGTATAACCTGAAATCTAGTAATGTGATCCCTCCAACTTTGTTCTTTATTTTCAAGATTGCTGTGCCTATTCGAGGTATTTTTTTTGGTTCCATATGAACTTTTGAAGTACTTGTTCTAGTTCTGTGAAGTATGTCGTTGGTATTTTGATGGGGATTGCATTGAATCTATAGATTGCTTTGGGTAATATGGACATTTTAATGATGTTAATTCTCCCAATCCATGAACAGGGTATGTGCTTCCACTTTTTTTAAATATCTTTCTCTATTTCTTTTTGCAATGACCTGTAGTTTTATGCGAATAGGTCCTTTATTTCTTTGGTTAAGTTTATTCCTAGGTATCTTAATTTTTTTGCCACAATGGTAAATGGGATTGTTTTCTTAGTTTCTCTTTCTACGAGTTCATGATTGGAGTATAAGATGCTATCGATTTCTTGATGTTAATTTTGTATCCTGTTACTTTGCCAAATTCATTTATTCAGTCTAGTAAATTTTTGATGGAGCCTTTGGGGTTTTCTACATATAGTATCATGTCATCTGCAAATAATGACTGTTTCACTTCCTCCTTTCCAATTTAGATCTTTTAAATTTTTTCTTCCTGTCTGATTGCTGTGGCTAAGATTTCCAGTACTATGTTAAATAAGAGTTGCGAAAGTGGGCATCCTTGCCGTGTTCCTGTTCTTAAGGGAAATGCTTTGAGTTTTTGCCCATTGAGTATGATGTTGGCTGTACGTCTTTCATACATGGCCTTTATTATGTCTAGATATGATCCCTCTATTCCCACATTGCTGAGCTTTTTTATCAGATGGATGCTGGATTTTGTCGAAGGCTTTTTTGGCATGCATTGATATGATCATGTGGTTTTTATTCTTCTTTTTATTTATGTGGTGTATCACGTTTATTGATTTGCGAATATTGTACCAGTCTTGCATCCCTGGGATGAATCCCACTTGGTCATGGTGTATAATTTTTTTGGTGTATTGCTGGAGCCGATTTGCTAGTATTTTGTTCAGGATTTTGGCATCTATGTTCATCAGGGATATTGGCCTGTAGGTTTCTTTCTTTGTAGTGTCTTTTTCTGGTTTTGGAATTAGAATTATGCTGGCTTCATAAAACGAGTTTGGAAGTCTTCCTTCTTGAGTTTTTTGAAATAGTTTGAGGAGAATGGGTATTAATTCTTTTTTGAATGTTCAGTAAAACTCCCCCGTGAAGCCATCCAGGCTTGGGCTTTTGTTTGCTGAGAGAGTCTTGATTACATCTTCAATTTCTTCTGTTGTTTTGGTCTGTTCAAGTTTTCTATCTCTGTCAGGCCCAGTTTTGGAAGACTATGTGTTTCTAGAAATTTGTCCATTTCGCTTAGATTGTCGAATTTGTTGCCATATAATTGTTCATAGTAGTTGTTAACGATCTTTTGTAATTCTGTGGTGTCAGTTGTTACTTCTCATTCATTTCTGATTTTGTGTATTTGGGTTCTCTCTCTTTGTATCTTGGTGAGTCTAGCTAAGGATCCATCAATCTTGTTTATGTTTTTGAAAAACCAGCTCTTTGTTTCATTGGTTCTTTGAATTGTGTTTTTGGTCTCTATGTCATTTATTTCTGCTCTGATCTTTACTATTTCCTTCCTTCTACTTGCTCTGAGGTTTCTTTTTGTTTGCTCTCTAGTTTTTTAAGTTGTGAGGTTAGATAGTCTATTAGAGATTTTTCTTCTTTTTTGAGGTAGGTCTGTAGTGCTATGAACTTCCCTCTCAGAAATGCTTTTGCTGCATCCCATAGATTTTGTGTTGTTGTGTCTTCA